CAAAAAACATTCTGATATATACTTAATTTGTATGTGTGTATACAGGCAAATGAAATTAAAGAAGGAATAACATAATTATTAAAAATAACTACTGCAAAAACCAATCTGATCTGTTCTTTTGTCTTAAAGCAAAAGACTTGGAAGGCACTATCCTAATAAAATAACGGACAGCACCGCTTTACAGCTTCTCTTAGTAATTCTAATATTTTGAAACAAAATTAATTAAGATAATAATCTAATATGTGAAACAAATCTCCTTTGAGAATGCTATCCCATCATATTCCATTTAAATTGGCACTGGTACCTCATTTATAACTGGCATGTAATAAATAATTGCTAAATGAGAATACAGAAAATATCTCCTGCTTTCATACAGAACCCCTCAAATGTTTTTTGTTTTTTGTTTTTTTAATTTCTCCCTTGGCTTTTGTCATTTGTGTTGTTTTCCGTCAGGCATGATCAACATTCCTAACAACATGCTTCAGTATGATTAGGTCAAAAAACTAGAATATTAAAATCAGAAAGGTATGTAGAGGTATGCAGAGGTTAAAAAAACAGAAGGCATAGAATATGAACATTATTCAATAACACTTAAAGCTCAAAGAGATGTAACTAGAAAGAGTCAGGAAAGATAAAACATGACATGACAAATTGGATTGGGCAAAATGCAGCAGTATATAACAACACAAGGAATGTGACAATATTGCCAAGTCTTATGACTTTAAAGTTTAATTACATATATCATTGAGGTGAAATACAGGGCATCGATACTAATAAAAAAAGAAAAAAAAACTTAAGTAACACGAAATCAGTACATTGCATTTGTCACTTTCCATAATACTGAAGTAAACTTTAACTACAGTAAAACTTGAATCTTTTCTTTAGGTACCTACTCTGGGCATCATAGATTTATGAAAAAGGAAGTGATATCACAGGCCAGCCAGGGAGGAAATTAAAGAAATTGCTTTTTATAGCCAATGTCTCACCTCAGTCATACTCTGATGGTATGGTATGGCAACAACATAAAGCTATACCACTAAAGGATGAAAGTACAGCATGAAACTGAATTATGATGGGCAACAAAGCAAGCTTAGGTCAACAGCTAAAGGCACACTGTACAATTATCAGACTTTCTATATTGTACCTTTTTATTGCTTGCTCTGAGAATGTCCAATTCTTTTAGAAGAAATGCTATTTTCTTCTCTTTATCTAAGTCTGAAGTAACTTGACAAGGGATCATACACTCACAATGCAAATGATTCTCTCTATGTTCCATAATGCTGCAATAAAAAAAACTGTTAAACAATATACACATATGATTTCTACTATACAGGATCTATAAGTTTTACAGTGCAAATGAGGGAGACAAATTTAATTTTAACAAAGAACATGTAAAGCTACTTAATTTTAAATTTCACTTTTTATACAGTGTTAATACTATGGATCAAAAAGAATAAATACATCAATTTCACAGAGGTACTAATCTAACAGCTAAGAGAACTAAATCTGTGGAAAGCATTTAGTAACTTCTACAGAGATTCATGGTTCAGTACACTTGAAGAATTCGGGTTTTAAGGGTTGTGAATAATTCAATTTATACTTTTGGTCAGGAGTCTAGAAACTTATCTCACTTTCTGGAAAATGGGAACAACAATCATACTTTTTTCAATTTGGTTGACAGAATGTCATTTTTTCATTATTAAACTCAAAACAAATTAAAAATGAAAACCTAGTCCTGTGACATTTAATGGTAAATAAATTTTTTTTGACATTTTGTATGCTATTTGAGAACAGTATCCACTTGTTAGCAAGTAGTATAAAGAAGGGAAGGGAAAAGAGATGGACCATTTTTTGAAGGCATTACATTAAAGTTGTAAACATAGGTAAATCTTAGAGTTTCTAAGAAGTTAAGCAGTGAGGTCTGGGACAGTCAGTGCAGCTCTACCTACCATGTATTTCTTCTTTTGCAATGATATTAGATATTTCATACTGTGGCTTTAGCCCAATCTCTATTATTTATTTGTCCATGTGGTTATAAAATGATTATCACTTCTTCATTCATCCCTACTCCTATTCCCCAAAAGTATATCCCAAATCTGCACTTTAGTAATGATGTAACTGTTTGCCAAAAAGTAGGAACACATTAATATATATCTACTACATTATGTTTAATGTTCATTAATACATCTACTGAATAATTTTTAAATAATTATTTTACTTATTTAGCTGTTCTTAGGCAAAACTGTTAAAATATACTATATTAAATAAGATTCTGTTTGGATTGAATATATAGTAATTGAAATTTTTGTAATTCTGGAGTATTTTCAAAATATATGACTAATTATCAAAGTACTTTAATCCCATAGAGGTAAAAGTCACAGGTGTCACAAACTCAAATCTCTTCCTGGGATAAGTAGGTAAGGTGAATGTTAAAAGCTGCAGAATGGAAAATAATAAGGAAGACAAATGGGAGAGTGTACAAGGCCTTTTCTAGAAGCATTCAAATTCATTTAAACAAAAAAGCATGCTAATAAAACCCAAAACACATCTTTGGGCTTATTTTGTCCTAGAGATGCCAGTTTTGGGCTCTGATGATTAATTTCCCATTTATATCACAGTAACAGTTAATTCCAGATCCAAAATGAAAGGACACAGAAAATAATATTCAACTTTGCCTTCATTTAAACTCACCTTGTGCTTTTTCACTTAGCAATCTACACACATTACGCCAATGTAAAGAAAACAGTAGAAAACTCTGGTAGATTGCCCAAATTCCAGTAAGTTTATTATATGTCCAATTTAGCCCAAGCCAAAAAGAAAGGGAGGGATGAATGGAGGAAGGAGGAAGGGAAAAAGAGAGAGTTCTCCCAATCTTGTTTTCTAAATTGAGGGCTGGCAGCACTCACTTGGATTTTTTAGTAGTACAGTCAGCTGTCTCATCACCTGGATAAGGAAAATTCCTTGATCTCTGCCCTGGCAGTTCTGTGTCCTCATGGGTGGCTTCATTAACTAATTCATTGGATTTCTGCTGCATGCCTTCCTTTGAATTCACAGTTGGCTGTTCATCTGGCTCTGTACTTTTATTTCTCCCTGTAGTCTCTTGTTCAAGATAACTATGGGCTATCTCTGTATTTAAAACAAAGCAAAAACAAATACGTGAAATACCATAGCCACATATTAAATCATTCAAATGAATATTTTTGTGGAAATAGGTGCTGTCATAGCTTTAAACATGTACTTACTAGTCTTACTCCTATTGTAATCGGCTAAGCATGTACAGTATAGTTTTTCACTTCTGGTAGGTATTTAGGGCAATGGTTTACAACCTTGACTGCAGGTTGAAATAACCTGAGGCGTTTCTGGAAATCCTTAGCCCAGAACACATCTTATACTAATTAAATCAAACTCTGTTGGAGCATCCAAATAGCTCCAGCATACAATCAAAGCTGCGAAACACTGATGTAGGGGCCTTATTTTCTAGATTTCTTTTCCAGATTTCAAAAAATAGAACGCAATAAGTTAATGATTATAGGGAAGTGATACTGCGCATGCAACTCTGGTATCAGACTGCCTGGGTCAGAATGCCAGCTTTGCCAAGTGCATAACTTTGGTCAAGTTACTTACCCATTCAAGACTAAGTTTCTTGTTTGTAAAAGGAGAACATAACAGCATTTTTACTTGAGTTATTTTGAGGTTTAACTGGGTTAATACATGCAAACTACTTGGCTTAGTGTTTGGCACATCAGTAAATGTTAGCTATTATTTTTATCACCCATTATCATAATTTTAAAGTTAACACAATATAAGCATTATTTTTAACCTCTGTTTTTATCAGATATACATTATATATTAGAAAATCTATTTTGTAAAGCCTGGCTATCTCATAAGCTGTTACTTTAAGCTGTAACTAGTAAATAATAGCTATTTCAAAGGAATAGTATATCTGATGATATAGTGAAATTTTTGGAAGAAAATGACACACACACACACAAGTACATAAAACAAACTCTTTTTTTTAAATATTTTATTTATTTGACAGAGAGAGACACAGAGAGAGAGGTAACACAAGCAGGGGGAGTGGGAGAGGGAGAAGCAGGCTTCCCGCGGAGCAGGGAGCCCGATGTGGGGCTCGATCCCAGGACCCTGAGATCATGACCTG